ACTAACCACAGCCTTCGAGCATCTGGAGTAACAACCTTGAAACGCAACAACTATAATGATAAGCAAATCATGTCCGTCACCGGCCACAGAAGCAGTGCAAGTTTGAACATATATCAGAAAGTTGCATCAGATGAAAAACTTAGAATGGGTTTAACACTTGGCTATGCACTTACTGGAGATCCTAGCTGTCTGACGAAAGAAAACGAGGTAGCCTGTGTTTACCAGCAGCATCCTCATGACAACCACCCCAAACAATCATCCAATGCAACCCACCTTTCTTTCCGTACCACTGGCACTGGAAACCAAATTGTGCCTCTTCACAAGCGACAAGCTCCCCGTTTCACAGAAACTGCAACAATTACCAAACGACCATGTCTGCACAATCTCCAGAGAGCAAACTCTTCAAGTTCTGTAACAGCTAAGCAGTCTTTAACATATGATGACTCGATGTTCGAAGAAAACAATGCAGTTAGCGATGCAGAGTTGCTGAAAGCAGTAAATGAGTATGAAGAAGCTACAATATCAGAGAATGTTCAATTCATGCAGTCATCTCAGACTGACTCAAACAAAATACAGTGCATTTCCAGGCAAATATTGAAGAAGATGAGCCCACCTACATTCAGTAATTGCAAAATTGAAGGTGGAATTATTATTAACATTCATAAAGATTGACAACTTGACTGCAGTAGTGACTTGTGTTGAATGTTGAAAATGACATTTTTGCAGTAAAACATTTTAATATTTATGATCTTAATACTGTTATATAATAACATGACTGTTGATATGATATTTTATTAATGCTAATTTAATTAACTTCTAATAGTTGTATAATGTTGTTGCTTATGTTGATGTATCATTTCATTAATGTTAATTTAATATGAATATTTCACTATTGTTGCTCTTCTAAGATATTGTATGTTATGATACTGATAAATTATTAATTATATTTATACAAATGGTGGGTGATGCCAATAATTTTGTTCTGTTTTAAGCTTAATTAAATTTGCTTTTCTATATCTAAAAAATGCATGGTGCCACCTTAAGTAAAAAATAACAATAACAAATATGGCGGACAAGATTTAGCCGATAAACCTAAACTTTAAAGAACTTTTTTCGGTGACTAACCTACTGAGACTGAAGAAAAACCAAAGAAAATAATGCAATAAAGGTAATCTAGAAGTAGATAAAGAAGTATGAAGAGCCCAGTGGTTTTTTTGGCCGGGAAAATGTTGACAAAACATCGACGAATATATCGCGAAGAGCTAGTAGCTACAAATGTGTGTATGGGATAAAAACCAAACGTACTTGCAGGTTCGGTGAGTCCGGGATTGGACGCACCTCGGGTGGCTGGAAGTTTCCCGAACTCACCTCGCTTCGCTCGGTGAGTTCGGGAAACTTCCAGCCACCCTCGGTGCGTCCAATCCCGGACTCACCTCCCTGCAAGTACGTTTGTTATAGAGCTAGGTAATTTGGTTCGAACAAAAGAAGCTGAGCCCCTTCCCTTCAAAGTTGAAGAAATGGGAGCAGATGGACGGGGGAAAGTACGTTATGTTGGAGGATGGGCTATAAGGAAATCAATAGAAAAATCGCGCAGGTATATTTAATTTGACTGATCAGTACAACTTAGATAGTGTTCGAACTATATTCGGAAAGATCAGGCTTTTAACTGTTGATTGGCATATTTTTCATGCCAGAAGGATAAAAGTGAGCAAGTACGAGTCCGATGAAAATTGTTAGTCAGAATCGCATACTTTCACCGTTGAGAGTTGGGTCTAAAACCATTGAAAATTTACTCCCCTTAGGACTTAATTGATGAATTTCACTTGCTCACTTTTTATCCATTTGAAAAACATATCATTCAACAGCTCTATTGAACAATTGAATAATTGAAACGATCTATTGAATAATTGAAACGATCTATGAATTTATTTTTATAGATATGTTCATGAAAACAAGTTGTCACAATCATCACTTGTACGGAGAAAGATAGCGCACGAAATGAAGAAAATAGAACTGCTTGAAAACAACGTGCTTGTTAACCACGAAGTTCTGCAGGAGTCTACGACTAGTCTCGAAACTCTGCACGTAATTGAGTCACGCCAGTATCGAGAGAGAGGCTTGTTACATATCAGTGACGCTGCATACTCCTTCTTTCTGTTGCTGGAACAAGAGCGTGTTGATAGGATTAATTTTTCCAAGTTGGCCGCCTTACAAAAGGATATGGTAGATACTTCTATCAAAGAAGTTTTATGGAGTAAATCTCTCTTTTTACATTTTAAAAATGTATCAACTCTGAGGGTACTGCTGACAAGGTAAAAAGAGTTACTATAGCATTTGTGTGCATGCATGATAAACTGCATGGGGAAATGAAATCTTATATATAGGTACTGTATACTACAGCATAAACAGATTATGCATATGGATTATTAATTCGACTAAAAATGTTCCGCGCGTATTGTCTTCAAGGAAATGTTAATTGTTACATATTTAAAAATTATTCTAGGAATTGACCATGGAGATATATTGTGACGTCATAACGTGCTATTTGAAGATGGGTGCCGGCCAATTTTTGCGAGATTTTCGACGCGACTACCATTTAAAGAAATCACTGGCCCATCGAAAATCGTTAATGTCGAAAAAAGAAAAAGCAAGAAAAGCTCGGATGAAGGTTCATCTAGCTCAAATCGAACAAGACAGAAGCGAGAGAAAACGATCGTCCCACATCCGTCTCTTGGCCCTCATCAACGAGTTAAAGGAAGATGTTGGCACGCTATACAAGAAGGCAGAGTTACAACACATGTGCGACGTGTATGGAGTAAGATACCTCAAGAGCTGGCATAAGGGTAAACTGTCAAAAGCATTAACCCAAGTAATCCCTACGTACGACCATATTCCTCGTCATCAGATAACATCAACCTATGTTATTCAAGCAACAGAGTTCGATGCACTCGACCGAATTCCTGTACTACGATTACGGCGGTTATAAGTACAGAGTACGGTTTCATTAATTAACATTACATATTTATACTGACGGCTGGGATTTGGCAGCTGCTGTCATGAAAACTATTTGCATTTACATTTACAGCTATATATATCTTAATCTTTCTTAATCTACGTTATGATGAAGAATTTTACTCCATCACTATATAATATAGGCCCATTTTCAATAGACCTTAATAATTATTCAATTTTTAACCAATAGCCTCGTTTTCGTGTTTTATTTATACTCATGTTTCGTGCACAGTAAGGCTAAGAGTAATCTTGTGATTTGGCTTAAGATCAACGAGAAACCACTTGGTACAGGAAATATGGGAATATAACCTTCATGCGTGCATACAATGCTAAAACAGCCGAACATGGAAACGAGGCCATTGGGTAAAAAATTAATGAACATGAGAAATGTCTATTGTCTCCAAATTGCATGCACTGATTTGGATTATAATGGCTTTGCATTTGTCTTGTAACAGTTACTATTACGCATAAATTTATTCATCGTCGACTGAATAGTTTTTCTTTAGGCAAACCAGTGAACGAAACGTTTTTCATAGTAGTGCCCGTGTTGCATTTTTTACTGATTGTAGTTTGACCAAATATAACAGAGTTTTGGGTGCCTTGGACCATTTGGTAAGTTGGATTGTCATTTTGTCCGTTAGCTCCTCGCAGCTGACAAAAATGATTTTGAACAACATCTTGATTTACTATCGCCGGCTTGATGCATGATCCTGGGAAACGAGCTAGCTTCGATTTCACCAAAGAAATAAAACCAAGTATCATGGACTGCAGGTCAAACCATGATTTGTAAGAAAGAAACTCTTTAGATGTAATGGCATTCAATTTCCAGTTGTGGAAATATTGTAAGGCCCGTTGCAGCTTTAGAATTCTGTTGTCCTTCACATGAAAAATGGCGTATTTGTCGGAAAATAGTTCCACCATCACACTGGTATGTGTGAGGAACGTAATTGTTTCTTCTAATTTGTCGGCATTTTCGCCCTCGCTGATAAGATGATCTCTGTAGGCCTATACAATTTTAATCAAATTGCATTTCAGCACCAACTGAAAGGTTATGTGGCACGATTTATGGTATATAAATTCCAATTAGCCTTCCCACGAAGGCCAAATTCGCCATTTTTGGGGTACTTTTTTGACAACCTGAAAAATCTAAGCGATGTGAAAAAATGTTTCCAATATTTAACTGGGAATTAACTTATAATGATTATACTTACAATTGTAGTTGGACAAAATCCATTATCTATTGCGTACAAGGCAGTACCCAAAAAATGGCGGTGTGAGAAGCGCTAATTGGGCGGTAGTTTTTACACAGGCAGGAATATGATAAATCCGTGCACGTACACCATATACACACCTTCATGAGAAGTAGCATTTTCTTATCCAGAACGTCCTCAACTAACCCGTTGCGCATTCTTGAACTGGGCGTGAGCATGAAATGATCTTCTTTCAGTTTTTCATGAAAATGACATGAGTTGCATCTTTGGTCCCATGCAAAGGCCTCCTTCCAATATGACCAAAATATATACTTCCCATTTATTGTCAGACATCGCGACGTTCCATGTGGGCTACTTTTCTCAACGTTGTTTCGCAGTTTTTTGAAATTGTGCTAAGAAATTGAATGTAATATTTGAATGTAAATATCCAAATACACATACATACATACATACATACATACATCAACTTTATTTAAACACGGAAAATCATCAGTATAGTTATTTACAAAAATATTAAAATATTTTAAAAGGAGCAAAAAGAAATATAGATACTGTTCTACCTGATTGCCGTGTGGGAGTCAGATCGATTATTTATTAAGAAGGCTTCTAAACCTGTCTTAAATGCAGCGAGAGAGGTTACTGATCTAAGAGATTCTGGCAGGCCATTCCATAAAGAGGCTCCACTGTAACTGAAGGAGCGTTTCAAATAATCTGTGCGTGGTTTTGGGACATAAAGTTTACCATAAGAATCTCTCAGGTTATAAACACTCTCACTGGGAGAAAACATCTCTTGTAAATAGAATGGTGTATGTTTATTAATAGTATTAAACATGAGGATTGCCTTTTGCTTTAATCGCTTAGTGGACAATGATTCCCAATTAAGTTCTTCAAGAAGAGAACTTGATGAAATATCATAAGATGAACGGGTAATAACACGGGCGGCCCTATTCTGTAATTTTTGTAATTTTTCGCTTTGCTTTTTACCTAGGCCATCCCAAACAGGGGCACAATAGGAAAAATAGGGCTCCACCAAACTTTGGTAAACTCGAATTGCAGTTTCTGTGGTAATAAAATCTCTCATTCGTTTGAGAGCACCGATACCCGAAGAGACTTTTTTGGTGATATTATCAACATGATATTTCCAAGTCAAGTTCTCATCAATTGTTAAACCTAATGACTTAGACTTCAGCACTCTATTAATCTGTTTATTGTTAACACATACTTCCACATTCTGATTATCAAAGGTTGAAAGTCTTTGACGAGATCCAATAATCATAAATTCAGTCTTGGCAATATTTAAACTTAACTTATTTGCCTCTAGCCATGTGTTTAAATTGGCTATTTCAGCATTCATAAGATTTTCTAGCTCAGAAAGATTATTACTTTGCATGCTGATGTTCGTATCATCAGCATACATTCTAGGTAAACCCTCGTTCAAGCAGTTAGGCAAGTCATTGATATAGATCAAAAACAGAAGTGGGCCTATAATAGAGCCTTGCGGAACTCCATGGGAGATAGAACGACTACCAGAGAGTTTGCCATTTACGTAGCATTTCTGTTTTCGATTGTTTAAATAGGAATTAAACCACGATAGCGCATTGTCATCCACACCATAACACTTGAGTTTACGTATAAGAATTTCGTGATCAATTGTATCGAAAGCTTTCTTTAGGTCAATGAAGATCACTCCGTTAAGCAAACCCTTATCAATATTTACGCACCAGTTATTACTCGACTCTAATAAAGCTGTAACGGTACTATATGATGCTCGAAACCCTGACTGATAGTTCGACAGTAAGTTGTTACTTGTCAGATAGGAGTAAAATTGGTCATAAACGGTTCTACCAAAAACTTTGGCAACCGCCGATATAATTGAAATTGGACGATAATTACTTAGATCACATTTGTCGCCATTTTTGAATAACGGTAAGACTTTTGCCATTTTCCAATCAGTCGGATAAATCCCCATAGAAAGCGATCTATTAAAAATTCTGGTTAACGAGGGGGAAAGAATATCAGCGGCTATTTTCAATAATCTACCTGGGATTTTATCAGGGCCGGTCGCTTTGTTAGCATTAATCGTTTTTAGCAAACAATTTACAGTGGACAAACCAATTTCCTCGAAAGAAAAAACACTATGTGTGGATTGAATATAAGAAACGGGATTAACATTCGAGCTAGGTATTTTGTTCGCAAGTTTCTCTCCTATCGAGGTGAAATATGAATTAAAGGCATCCGAAATTTCAGCCGCATTAGTGATTTCATTACCGTCAAGATTGACTTTCTTGACACTGGTTACATCACTCACTTTACGAGAGTTCAGATCGTTGACTAGTCTCCAAGTTTTCCTTGGATCTTTTCGTGCAGCCTCAATATTAGTGATAAAGTAGTTATGTTTAGCCTGCCTAATAGTGTTGTTAGTTTCATTTCGAGCTTTCTTATATTGTAACCAAATTTCATCGTCACGTGTAATATCGAATTGCCTTTTTAGATAATCTCTTTCGCGAATTTTCTGAACTACATGTGAAGTAATCCAGGGAGACTTTCGTTTCCCTATACGTTTCTTTTTAAGTGGGGCATGTTTATCAATCACAGACATAAACAAATTCAACCATTCAGTCCACATATCATTAGGGTCGTTATGCAGACAAACCTGCTCCCAATTTAGATTATTTAAATCATTCAAATATGCATGTTCATTGAAGTTTCTGAAATTTCTCTTTTCAACAAAAGTATTTACCGGTGCCTTATGATATGTACATTTCCGAATAAGGTATACCAGAGAATGATCACTTATACCAAGAGAAAGAACACCGGAAGCTTTTACTTTATCAAGATTATTGGTAATACATAGATCGATTAATGTTTGTGAGGTATTAGTTATTCTTGTAGGTTCAGAAATTGTCTGTGAAAGATTGTAAATATCAAATATATTCAAAAGCTCAGACGTGTTGGAATTTGGTGTGTTTGACAATAGGTTGCAATTCAAATCTCCAAGTAAATACAGTTCGGAATTCTCAGCATCTATCTTATCGATAATTTCCTCGAATAAAGTAAATAATTGTTGGGACGAGCTTGGAGGTCTATACCAAGTACCCACCAAAAACGGCTTTGAACGAGGATTAGAAATTTCGATTATTAGGATTTCAAGATCATTACATGCCAGATCTTCACGAATTCGAAAGTTTAGATTACTTCGTATATACATACAAACACCACCACCATTTCTACCATTAACCTTACGGTCTAGCCTAACAACATCATAGCCTGAAAGATGGATTTCACTGTTGCCGATGGACGAATCTAACTTAGTTTCATTTATAGATAATATATCGATTTTACTATTGTCCATAAAGATTCTTAAATCATCAATGTGAGCTAACAAACTATTTATATTTAGACAAGCAATTGCAAGACCATGGCTGAATAATCTAGTATATGGGGCTTCGGTATTAGAAATACGAGATGCGGATAAAGAATTAACTGACTCTCTTACGGCAATTTCCTAACAGGAATTAATGTACTTAGAAATGTTCTTTGCTACAATAGAAGTTCCTTTACGATTAAGGTGCAATTCCCTTGTGTTTAGACAAGACAAATTAACCGATTTATGATCAATAAATGCCCATTGATTTTTAGAGCATATTGCTTTAATAAGCTTGTTAGCTTCTGTTGCTTTTGCCGATAGTTCAGATTTATCTGATCGTGGTAATATACTAGAGATCACAATGCTGGTTGCTGGGGAATCTTCTTCGATTTGGGTTGCGAGATTTGCAATCCCTTCAGCCACTCTCTTAGCAGATAGATGTTTTAAATCGTTAGTTCCTACGTGTAGAATGACTTTATTCGGCTCCTTACGAAGGATGGGCTTCAAGTAGAAGTAAAACATACATCTCACTTATTTAGACGTAAAACGTATACGCAGCTAATTATATTTGTCACACAACAGAATACTGTTTTAAATTTCTCTCCTCTCCCGAAATTGTGCTGTAAAAATGTGAAAAATGTGAATGCTAATACCTTACAATCCATTATGAATACCATTGGATCCTCAGTCATCATATTGTATCCAATGAAATGCAAATCGCAAGGATGACAGTTAGAAAAATACATTTTGAAAAACTGCCTGTTAGCATCTCCCCCGTCACATAAAGCAAAGTAGATTCTAGACAAAAGTATAATATACTGTTTTACAACTAAACATTCACATTAATGTAAGTGTTTAGGCATTTCTGATTACGAACAAATTAAAGGCCCTACGTAAATCCTGCTCTTCTCATCTGTAATACGCCTTCCCAAAACTTCAGATATAACACTGATGCTGGACATTGAGCTGTTGGGAAATGAGCGATTGGAAATCGAGACCCACCATCACTGAGAAACACAAATTGCACTAGATGCGTTGCTATCGAAACTTTAGAATTGTCTTCTATAAAAGAAAATAATATCATATTTGGATGATGTATATTCAAAGTAGAGGATTACTTTGACTTACGTACGCGACTCGATCTTTTTCATGCTGTTGTAAAATCCTCCAAGTGATACCATTCCTGTTAGCTGATGCTTTCCTCCTTTTACAGTCATTTGAAGATCTTCCTAATATATAAAAAAATTGTAGTGTTTTTATTTTGAATCCCTTACAGTCAGTTACTATCATTTGTACAGTAGTTTGAGAATATTAGAGACCTTAAGATTGACGTTTACGGCAAACGTCAAACCGCTAGCGAAGTTTTTGATTTTACAGCTCTATTATTGTAGCTTTTACACCAGTTTTGAAATATGTTAAACTGATTAAACTTCTGCTCTTTAGCAATGATTTAAGAAAGAAAATTAACCACTAGTCACGCCATTCACCAAAGCAGTAAATTAAGATTTGGCGTTTGAAGTTGACGTTTGAAGTATAAATTTCATGCTTTAACGACTACAAGCCCTCGTAGCAGTTCAAGCATGAAATCTATACGCCAAACGCCAACTTCAAACGCCAAATCTTAATTTGCTGCTTTGGTGAATGGCATGACTAGTGGTTAATTAGCTTTCTTAAATCATTGCTAAAGAGCACAAGTTTAATAAATTTAACATATTTCAAAACTGGTGTAAAAGCTATTATAATAGAGTTGTAAAATCAAAAACTTCGCTAGCGGTTTGACGTTTGCCGTAAACGTCAATCTTAAGGTCTCTATTAAACAATGATCATTTTCTTAACCGCGTATTAAAATGCATGTGTGTACCTGAATTTTCATTTCATCCAAAATAAGTCCGCCCCAATATTCTTCTGGTCTAAGATTTTGCCGCTTCGCTTCTTTCACGCACCAGGAAATTACTTCCTCATTCCACCCTTCTTCTTGGCTAACAGAGTTTTTATAATATCTGCAAAATAAATTATTTATCTCGGACTCAGCATATATTTTTTGAATTGAAATGCATAATCACAGGCTACACAAACCTAATCAAACGATTGCTTGGAAGAACAAGGAACTCACGCATTGCACCCAATGCTTTAGGATTCTTACAATAAACATCCAGAACGAATCGTATGATCCTATAGCAAATTTTAAACGAAAAATATTATGTTAGCAATTTTATAAGAACATTTTTTTTATACAATTAATTCTTACTAAATATTAAGTGCCACCATTTTAACAATAAATAGCCATCAGCACCTTGGGTCCCATCTGTAACCATTTGAGGATTTCATAGACAGCTGCTTCATTTGTTGTTCCCAAAGCAGTTTAAGGTTGGGTGGAACATCTGCTATATTAGTGGATTCTACGATTTCCATTAGATCCGAGTTATCTTCCTCTATCAACTCGATCAATTCTATTTCATTTCGAGATTCCCTCTTCGACTCGTTCTTTAGAATTTGTCGTTGCATTTTAATCTTTCTTTCAAGACCTTCTTGATCCAGGAATCGTAAATTACACTTTTCGGGTGGAAAGTAGTGGGTGGATGATGATGCCAAATTTCGTTTATTGGATCTATTTCGATAGAGCTTTGCGATATACAAACAATTGTTACACGATTTGCTACGAAATCGAAATAACAAGCAGGATGTGGAAACTAATCTCTTGTGACATTCCAAATTTTCTGATCTGACGGTCACAGCATTTGATCCTGCGACTTCCAATTTAAGATATTCACTTTCATCGTCGGAGCATATGGCATGTCCTATGCATGGCGATGCATTTTCGAGAAGACAAATTGCCTCGTCTATTGACTGTAGAGTAATTTTGGTAATACTTACTCCTTTGATTTGGCTAAGGGATACTTCTTTACCACATGTGCTGATGGTGATTGTGGGTGTTGTTGTCATATCTATTTTCAGTTCCAATGTAAGATGGTGCCCATCAATAGTGACGCCTTCATTACGATCAGGATTTAGAAGATGCGTCAATGTAACTGATTTCGTGGAGGCGAGGGAGGAATTGAGAATCCAACCAGGTCGATCACCACAAAGTAAACGGATGTTTTCAATTGTTGTATCGTTTAGTTTGTGAATTGTGGTATTATTTCTATGTATTCCGTTCATCGAACGCTTCTTTAAGTTTAAAAACCTGGAACCGTGATCCCTCTTTTGTTTTTTTACTTTTCCTTCCCAAACATCTTGAATTAGCATTCCTAACGAGATCGCGTTCAAATTTACTTCTTCCTCTAAAGCGGCATCCAATATATCATTTATAGGCACAATCTCATTTATGCAATACTTATAGTTCGAAATTATCCTGAAAAAAAGGTATATGAAAATTACTTATTACCGTAAATTAGTCACCTGCTGTCGGCACTTGTAAAGGGATATGCATATAGCACATAAATCTGTGTTCATGAAACATTGACATACGGCTAATCAAGTTGGTATTTAAGTAGAACAAAATATCTCCAAATTTGGTAGGTACTCAATCACCATCAAGGGGGGGGGGGAGGGGGGGTTAGGTCGAGGTACAAAATGTTCTGCAGATGACAGCAACATGCTAATCTTGTTTTTTTATTTTGTAATAATTAATAGAAAAATGTGGGGAAAAGCTTTTGATTTTTGTGTTCGCGGCATTCCAAGGCAAATAGACTATGACAGATAATTCATATGTTCCAGAAGTGCAAAAATTGAATATTAATTATGACACATGCGTGCGCATATCGAACTGAGCATTCTTTTTGAACTATTGGGAAGCACGCTTTCAAGCTTTTTACAGTTGTTCGACTTTTGGAGATTTTTTTGAAATGAAACGATTATTTTCGGGTTGAAAAACATTACAAACTACAAAGGTGATAGGGTAAGATCGATTGTTGTTGTTTTTACGAATACTTTTCTTGTTTAAAGATATTTTAGTCATGTTTTTTAAAGTTTCATGGATTCGATCATTGACTTGCAAAAATAACTTCTTTATATCAGCATTGTGTGGGTTTTTTAAGTTTAATCTTAACTTTTTTCTTTTGTTTAGGTTAACCGTTTGTGAAAAAATGGATTGTAAAAACGTTTGGACCTTTTGTTGAATGTTTTTTTCAATGCACAAGTACGCCGATGGAAAGGCATTTTTCAGTGGAATCTTTATACATGTTTGATGCTTAAATTGATTGGGCATTTATATTCTTGTGTGAATATTATTAAACGGCATGCTTTTATTCAGCTTTGAAAAAGCGATTTGGGATGGTGTGAGTATTAGTAAAAAACCAAAAGACATCTACATGCAGCTTGGAGGCAGAACTGATAGCTATATACTTCAGGTAAATGTGTATAAATATCTAGTATGAGGCGAGTTTCCTACTTTTGGTAGGAAATAAAGTCTAATTTTTTTTTCTATCCGAGGCTAAACAATATTTAAGTCTTCTTTTTTAAAATTTTTAAACGCAAGCCTTTTGCAAAGGCAAGATGCTTCGCGCCGGAGCGAAAGTTAGCCAGGGCCGGCATAATTACATGCATATACTAGGAGTATAAACGTAGAGCCAACGTAGGACTGATTTAAAATTATTTTCATCCAACTACCGACGCTTTAGAGGTTTTGTGTGTATGTCAACTTACCACAAAAATGTGTTAACATCGTTGCAAAACCCACTTGGCTTCTTGGTCGCCATATTCTCGCACTTTATTTTCCGTTTTCAGCGTTTTCACTGTTACGAAAAACGATGGAAATTTGTCAATTTTGTTTACTATCAAGCTTCGTAAAGACACGGAATAAACAGGTATGTTATTCAATGCTATTTTTTGTTTGTTTACAAACAGTATATAATATATATTAGCTATATCCTTTGCTACTCTATACGTAGTTCGCCTTTGTGTTTCAATGTCGCTAATATTAAAATGTTTTTTTATGTTTTCAAATTTGATAGTATTCAGTCAATTATAGTAAACATACCTGAATTATACGTCCACGGAGTTTCTACTTCACATTTTTCCTTTTGACCTGTTTTACAATGACTTAAAAAGTTGTATACGCACGGTATTTTTCGCAATTTAATTTCCGACAAAAGACGCTATATAGACAATTTTGTTTGCTTTGTATTTTATCTACTATCTTGTTTCTGGTTGAGTAGTTCGCCCCCCCCCCTGTTTCCAAATTTTCACTGCAAGAAACGTCATAAACTGTCTATTTTGTTGACCAATTGGATCAGTGAGATGCTTTTGAAAATATGACGAATACGCCAACCTCTGGCATCCCGCATAGAGACAAAAAAATCTCCTCAAAACCTCGCGAATATATGCAATTTTTCTTAGCTCTCCGGCAATATTGAAGCGAATTTTTGGTGTGAGTAGATAGTAAAATTATCAGGCTATCATGTGTTATTATTTTTTATTGTGTTTTACTTCTACAACAAAGTGTTTTGCTTTTTGTTCGAGTGGTATGTTCGTAATCCAGTATATATAGTTGCCAACCTTATGTTATTATATATTATCAATTGCTTTTCAATATGGCGGCGCTTGCGGCGCGCGACAAAGTTAAGAGGAATAGGGCGAGTTTTAACACCGATCGACATTTAGAACATTCTACAACAATTTTTGGGCTGCCTATGGTTGTTCTAATAAAAACTATTGCTTGTGATATGCATATTAAATTTTTGAAATTACATTTCATTCTTTGTTAAAAGGTGTACCAGGAATAATGAAATCTTTCAGATAAGCTAACAATACCTTTGTAACTTATATAGCCAAGTGTTCTATCTATTTCTGTTCAGATTAAACAAAGGATGGGTAAAATATTAGATTAGATTTTTGCCAAAAAATGAGTTTGCCTGTTTTCAAAGCATAAAAAGCAATAAAATAAAGCAAAAGTACTTATTTTCAATATAAAACCTTTGGAATGCATAGCTTAATGTTTTCCACTAAATATTACAAAGTTTTCGTTCATTAAAATGTTGTTTTATCAGCTTTAAAACCAGATAAATTCACGAAATACTCCTAATATATGTCGCCTTATTGATTTTCTTCGCGCATGCTCAGACAAATTGCCCACCTGTTCCATGTACCAAAGTAAATATCTATGCCTCTATTATTGTGTTTTTGAGGAAGGCATTCAGGGAGTTTGTCATTGCCTGTTACCTAGACATAATATTTATATTATGTTTCTGAGGTTGGCTCTAATGACATTACTGTACAGTAGAACAATGTTACGACATACTGCATACTACAGTATAACATTTAAAACTTTGTAAATATTAATATTTTATATCTTTATTAAAAGTCTAGATACTGAAGCAAATTTATATAGAAGGTAAGTTTCTTTTCCATCCCTATATACCTATATACAGTTCACTCTACTATATTAAGTGAATATTGTGTGTATCACTATGGTTACCAAAAACTCTCACACAACGATGATACGAAGTAATAAATACGAAGCGCGCGAAAATTTGATTTTGAGTCTCGCAGGGCATTTGGAGTTTAACAGTAAGTTTTTTTCCGAAAAAATACTATTTTTAAATTTGTCTATATTTAAAAACTACAATTATTTGTATAATATATATGTTTTGAGCAGAAACTACTTTATTTGGTGGGTTTTTCTATTTCAATTTCATCTTTTTAAACATTTTTTTTCTTTTTTATAGATTAATTTAAAAGATATTAACGGAAAGGTACGAGTATATTTTTAATATATTTACTGTATATGTATGCTCCTGAGATAGTCTAAAACAGCCTCTAATGTATTTTAATGATACAACAAGTTGCCTGCTAATTTATATTAAGCATTAAAAAACAGTTTTCAATATTATAAATACAAATTGCCTTCTGGAAGAGGAATTTTATTGTAGTGTGCTACTAAGTAATGGTAACTGGTCTTCCATGTTTTCTTTTACAGCAAAGGACAAAGTTTAAAACAAGTAAGTTGAATAAAGTAAACTGCTTTAATTGTTAAATGAATATGAATATACATGTATAATTTGAAAAATATTTCAAAGAGCTTTATGAGTTGTTTAATTAAACCAATGAAAGTACATTTTAAAGGGGCCCTACAGTAATTTTTTAGTCAAGGAAGTATTGTTTACATTTTTTTGTTATTGTCGCTACTTGACATGCGTACTACTGCATGCATGCGTTTTCCTGTGTGCGGAAATACTCATACTCATGGATAATGCTTGTAAGATACAGCCAAACAAATCCCTGTGGAGTCCCTGGCTTTTCAACTAAAAAATGACTGTAGGGCCCCTTTAAGAACTCTTCATTGTAAATCATTTCCAACTAATGCATATACTGTATCTTGTGAATTTTAGTGGAAAATAATGATGACAATATTCTTGGTATGTACAATTAATACTGTATGTATTTAATATACAATAGCTAGGTTATATATATATATATATATATATATTAATATACACTCAGTATTTATATTTATGCGGGTTCACAGAGCCGTGCGAACTGGTATCTCAATGGGGTATCTCAAAAAAAATTTCCGATGTTGTGTTTCTGAGAACAAAAGTTGCAAAAACTTTTCACAACAGTTCTTTTCAACCAAAATTTTCCAGAAAATTACATAATACTGTAAATACAGACCTACCTGGTACAGTATACCAATTAACAAAAAATTACCAGAGGTTAAATTTCAATACACTTTCAGTACAACACTGTGTTTTAATTTTATTAGGTGAGACTCTGTAAGGAAATATAACTTAAATAAAAACTATTAATACTGGTACCGAGAATGTAATTTCATATAATCTATATTGTAACATGATAACTTTAGCTAATTAATAAAACCTTCTAACAAAACCTTTTTTTATTTTAGATGTACTGGTTGATGATGGTAATTAAATTCAATGATTTATTCTGATGAACAGAAATTGGTTGAGTCTGAAAGACCATGGAGAAAATTTGTGATTTCTGTTTCGGAAGGCCAAAAATCTAATTCTTATGAGAGAAATGGGTTATCGCCCGTATTCTAAAGCTCATTCGCACTCGTATTCAATGAGTGTAAGTTCAGTCTGAACTTCTCTTGAGGGTCATCGCTGTTTTTGAATAGCTGGAGGGGTAGTGTTGTACCTTACTATGTGACTGCTCACCCTCCACCTATTCAAAAACAGCATTGACACTCAAGAAAAGCTCAGATTGAACCTCCACTCATTGAGTGTGAGTGAGCTTTTAGATTATGGGTGTATGTTAACCCATGAAGTGTCAACACTCTCTCCCTGACGAAAAATTCCTGCCATCAGACAGTAAATTTAAAAAGTAGGCACATCTGGGCGCATTTCCACTTGGTGAACACATAGTCCATAGGCAAATAGTCTGATAAATGAACCCATTAAATGGCAGCACTCCCTCCCTGATGAGTAAAATCATCTGGCATTAGACAGAATAATAAGAGAAAGTAGGGCACATCTGGGCTCATTGCCACTTACAGGGTTAATTTGTCTGAGAAAAGCCAAGGGTAATAGATACATTGTTTTTTGCAAGAGGGAGTTTTGAAATATTTTCTGGAATGACCCAATTGATTATACGATTGATAATTAAATATTGTCATGTAAAATATTTGGTATAATTACAGATATACCCAAAGAAGTTAACAGTTTTTTTGCAATTAACTATAGATATGATGGATGAAGTTCGTGATGTGGCACCATGTAAGTTTACAACATATGATAGGTTTAGTATTAATTAATAATTTAAACATAGTGTATTTATACCAATTTTAAAATATGATTTCATTTCAGTGAATGAGCAACAGCAGGATGGCAATGGTATAGTTTTTTATATACATGTATTTGTCTATCATTTACATTCAACGAATCAAGTTATTATTTCATTTTGGTAGATTAGGATCATCATCGACTTCGCAAGCCTGGCTCTCTACTCACGCTTCCCTCCCTAACAGAGCCTGGCTTGCAAGGTTGGATCGTCATCCAGATCGCAATGGTATGGCCAATGTTGGGAGAACTTCAACAACCAATGTAGTAATCCCCTTGTGTAATTCCAAACTAATCAGGTGACAAGAAAATGTACCAAAAGGGAGAAAAAGATTAACTTTCAAATATTCCCTCCATGGTGAAATTGTGAATGCATGATACAGGCCAATAATAATCGCAGATTTCGTATGAACTTTGGCAACATTTTCTTCTATTTAACTGTACATCTTCCTGTAGATGAAGAGGATGCAGAGCAGGTTGGAGGACCTGAAGAGGCGGTCCAGCCATGTAAGTTTAGAATATACTGTTACTGTAATATATCCAGTGTTGTTCAATCAGAATTATAGTTATAACTAATACTAATATAATAACATGATTTGATTTCAGTGAATCAGCAACAACATCAAAATGGTATGGTTTTTGATATTTACTTATATCTGATACTTTATAAAAATCTGTAATAATTGTTCTAACAAAAATACTATTTCTTTCCAGTTCATCGCCAACAACATCAACAACATGGTAATAGTATGCTTTTTTATATTGTTTAACCCATTAAGTGCCAGCGCTCTCCCCTTGACGAGTAAAATCGTCTGGCGTTAGACAGAGTAAAATACTCTGGCGTTAGACAGAGTAAAATACTAAAGTAGGGTGCATCAGGGTGCAATGTGACTCAATGGGTTAACTAGACACATGGGCAAATAGGCCAGTTAACCCATTAAGCGCCAGCGCTCTCCCCTTGACGAGTAAAATCGTCTGGCGTTAGACAGAGTATAAAATACTAATGTGACTCAATGGGTTAATTACACCTCTTTAATTATTAGTACTAATCAACATTTCTTCATTTCAGTTAACAATGAACGCCGACAATGTGAAGGTATAGTTCTTGAAATAGATTTATACCATTAGGGCGGGTTGTTCAAGGCAGAGTTAGCTTAACCCTAGGTTAACTTAAAATTCAAATCAAACTTCCTGACAGCTTCTCTATAAATTTGGAAATATTTCTTCAGAGATCTTGTCTGGATTCATACATGTAGGTGTTTACTTCTTGGAAATATTGAAATAAACAGACATGCCCAAAGTTAGCCTGACCCCAATAGTTTATATGAGCCTCATTGTCAGTTATATACATATTAACTTATAAGTTTGTTTCTATTTTTCTAACTTAGGAAATCAAGCACGGACAAGAGCTAATATTATGATTTATTTTTTATCAGTGAAAATGAAGCAATCTGTTTGGCTGAGGAGCCTTTCAGAGCGGGCCGGTTTTTTGCATCCGGCCCGCTCTGAAACGCAACTGCCCGCTGTGAAATGCAACTGCCCGCTCTGGTTTTTGCGCCAAAAACCGAGGAGTGAAACAATTTTTAAACGAAAAATCTGCCAAACACGTTTGAAAAAACATAGCCTAATCATAGTCAGAATACGAAAATGAATTGCATCAAGCCCTAAAGGCTTCATACTAAGCACGATGTTCACGACAATTGACAATATTTTGATATAGAAATACGACTGAAAGTTGGAAAGTATTTGACATGTATATATTAACTTACGTCGAGAAAATTATATATTTTTTGAATGCGGCCACTTAAAAGTGAAAAATTACAGCTTAAACAGATATTGTAAAATAAATGTTTTCCCATTTAAAAGAAGGCTTAACAGCAGCAGTGAAAAAACAAGTAACGAATATATTCTCTACCCATTTGTGTCATGTATTTTTCACTGATATAAATATTGTAAACAAAGTAAAAGTTTGTGTTTAAAAACACTTTTTTCAAGCATATTATTGTGAAACGACAAGAACGGGACGTTTTCAAGACCTCGCAGCCGGTAAATAACATATATATATTTCGTCAAATAACTAGATATATGACAAAATATCTTTGTGAGTGCACTTCCAGTACAGGTTATGTACTGTAACCTAGATGAATATTCTTAAAAACTGGTTGTATTTTCTTTAAATTTAGGACGTTGCTATAAGTGTGGCCTTCATGGTCACTACGCTGTGGCGTGCCGCTCACGTATATGCTTTACTAAAACTATTTATTAACAGTCATGTGATATAATGCACCAAGTTTACAGCAAATTTTAATCATTATTGTATGTTGGAAAATGAATGTTTCTTTGACAGTGTTCCTGGAAAATAAAAATAGGCGCAATTATAATTATGCATATATAGATATCTGATAAAACACTCCTACTCATGTTTTAAATAGTACGTAAACCAGTTGATTTGACAAGTGAAGAGTGCTGCCATGCACTCAATTTGTTAAAATACAGTACTACTACAGTCTACATACTAGAATTTTATATTTTCATATATATAGGCGTCATATGTTGGTTATGTGGGAAGCGGGGACACACCAAAATCAAGTGCCCCCAAAGGAACCCAAAGAGCAGAGGCAGAGCAATTGTGTTTAACAATTGCAGATTCGATAAAGTATCAATGTAATTTACTGCTATTTTATCGAATCTGCAATTGTTAAAGTTGTTTAATTAATTTACAAATGTTATATAATGAATTTGACAATAACGTTATAAATACTTAGATTTTGATGTTAGGGCTGTTTATATGAAAAAGCTAGCCCAGCTGTCTCACCAGGATGATTACTTTCTTCCCTGTATTGCCTTCAAGACTTTCTGAAACAGTTGATAAAAATATTCGGTTCAGACTAGGTGTATTAAAGCTGGTCTTTCAGTTATTAAAAATTTGCCTTCATACAAACAGTCCCCTTAGTTTCTGTTGTTATTACTTTATACATGAAACTACAGACTACAGTATCATGATAAGGCCACATAAAATAAATTCCTTGATTCTCATCACTACACTTTGAAAATGTCGAAGAGGTGGGAGGGTTTATATTTTATATTTATATATCTTATTCAATAAATAAAAAAATAATTCCTAACATTTAATATTTTTGTGATTTCCAAAGTGAAGTGTCACAAACCGAAATAAACATATTTCTCCACAAACATTGACTAAACCCTTGAAATGAATGCAAAGTTCCTTTGAAATGCAATGAAATTTCTTTCAAGGTTCAGTTTGTTTCAAATTGGCAGTTTAAAATGGCACTAAAAACCTAATATAAAATATAAAAAACTTAAGTCTCTTGAAATATTTTGTCGGGCGGTACATTTATATTGTATAACAAAATTTTAAAAATTTTCACACGGCTCTGAAAATACAGTCTGGCGGTGATGAGAATCAAGGAATTTATTTTATGTGGCCTAATACTCGTGTTCTATATAATTGCTCTATAAATACTGTATACTTTATTCGTTCATCATAAGATATTTACAAATGTGTAAAAATTACAGTACCTTGCGGCTTGTCTTCACAGCGCTATATGTACTAATGATAGCTATACAAGTATGATATTCGACCCCTCTACATTCGACTCCTCTATATTCGAGGAGAAGTGTTTATCATACACGTTCAAGTCAGTATGGTGACAGTATTTACTTTATATCAGTTATCACAGGCAATTTCATGCTTTCAAATACCGTCGGTTGCAACTAAGGGTGAACAGTTGCGAATAAAACATTCTCTGTTCTCATTAAAAAGCCTGTAAAGGTTCCCAGTAGGTCTCTAGCCCAATACCTTCCGACTACATAAAGTTTTGTTACTTATTATTGTACACATGAGAAAGAACAATTAAGTGTTGTTGCTCTTGACAAACATTGAGGATTCTGATCACACAAACTTAGAGACGCGAATATGTTTTTGTGAGCGACTGTTCATTGTTAGTTGTAAGCAATGGTACAACATACTATCAACATTTTTCCGAATGTGCAACGATTTATTTTTCAAAGTTGTTATCAATTCCTAAAATTTGTTTATAGTGTAACGGCCTGCTCAACTTCTAGCAAGTACATATTTGACAAGCTGTAGTAAGGAATAAGCACGATTACCCATTTCATAGTAGCAATATGAAAAGTTTCTCTTTTTCCATGACTTTTAAATTAATGCTTCAGCCAAATCCAAACATGCCCATCCCTCCCCCCAGCCATTTTCCTGTAAATTTTGCGGGGGTTGGGCATTGCGGGCCCACATTGCGGGGGTTGGGCATTTCCACTCAAATCCTGGCCCGGGGTGGGGCATTCGAAATTAAGGATTTGGAGGTTTTGCGATCACTGATAACTTGATAATAATATAGACCAGTCAAGTTGTAGTTTAAAAATTCATAAACTTGAACCATGCTAGAGCATGACAACAGCAAAATGCTTAGAGTATAATGCACAATACTTTGATAGGTGAAATACATGGACGATAAATCAGCAAGGGTGGGTAGTAGCGAAGTAGTTGTAGTTCGCTACTGTAGCGAACTACAATTTTCAAGTAGCCAGTAGTTTTTGACTACTTTTTTAAAACAGTAGTTGTAGTTATAGCGAACTACATTTTGCCTAAAAGTAGCCAAATAGTTGACTACTTTTCAAACAGCGAATCGCTATTCGCTACTTTTTAAAATTGTTAGCAACCGTTCATAGAATAGAACGATATTAAGACACGGTTTGCTTAAAATATTATTTTATACAGTAAAGATTATTTTAGCGCAATGAAAAGTGGCACTCCTGAACACTGTAGTGCTTACAAAATGTTGCTTTGACCCTTTTTGTTTACTGTTTCTACTCGTAAGTCGATTTGTAAGTTTGTTATAAGATATATTACAGCCTGAGCTAGTGGATGCTCCAAATACCGTAAAACTAAAAAATATAGAGTAGCGAAATAGCGAAATAGTTCACTACATTTTTTTAAGCAGTAGCTGTAGTCAGTAGCGAACTACCTTTGTTCAACAGTAGCAGTAGTTGTAGCTGACTACATATTTTTGAAGTAGCTGTAGTTATAGCGAACTACAAAAATTTTGTAGTCAACACCCCTGATAATTACTCATGAGCAATTTCAGGTAGATTTCCAGTGGACTTTCAGGTTAATTTCAAGTAGATTTGCAGAAGATTTTCAGGTAAATTTCTGTACATGATAAAATGAATTTGGAAATAATATACGTATTTTCGGAAAAATTATGATGTCCCGAAAATTTTTGTATATCCGGAAACATTTTGGTAACAATCTTCTAACCTCACACACCCCCTGAGACAAAATCCTCGCAACGGCACTGAGTATACAACTTTTGAAAAGAGGCGAGGGGTTATTGCATGCATGTATTTCTAGTATACAGTTTGGACTTGGGTGGCACCGCTGATCAGATCAGTGTGTGGCACTTTATCACCAGTTACTTTCCTTTTTTTATTGTAGTTGATAAATGGATTGGAGTATATGTGCTCTGTGTCAGCGTGATGGGCAGAATCTCGTTGTACCATCTGCAAATTTAAATCGAGACGTTTGTGGATATTCTGCATTAGCAAGGAACATAGATGCTTTTATTAACGAGGGTCTACCACTACCAAGCAAGATCACCATTGCTTTAACAGATCTGAAAGGTGATACAAATGTTGCAGATAACATGAAAGAAAATAAAGCCCAGTGGCATAAGCGATGCATGTCAGAATTGGCACCTTCAAAGCTTAAGCGTGCTTTAGAATCCGCTGCCAATAAAAAGCATAAAATTGAAACACTACCTGTCAATGCACTATCTAAAAGAACACGTTCTAGCCTGGATGCAAAGACACAATTACAATCTTGTCTGTGCTTATTTTGCAATGAACCAGGTGTATTCACAACAGAATATATAAAGTTGAAACACCCTCATGCTCGGCAGAAACGAATGTGTAAAGTTAATACTGATAACTGCGATTACTTGATTACTTTGTTAGAAAGGCTGCCGCTGAGATGGGAGATTCGTTGCTACTAGCTAAGCTATCTGAGGGTAACTTATTTGCAAGAGATGCTTGCTACCACCATCAATGTTTCACAGAATTCAGAAACAGATATCGGACATTTCTGACACCCGAAAATCCCGACACTGCTAGGATGAAAGACATTGAAAACTCTGTACTATCTGAAACATTGATGTATATTGAAGAAAATCTTGCAACGAGTACAGACACTGACGTAGCGACATTGATAAAATTGTCTGACATAAGAAAGTTTTATGACCACAGTTTAGCAAGGTTGACTGGCAAGGAAAGTAATGTGAATGTTACACGGCTTAAAGATAAGATTCTCTAATTAGATGGTGACTTGCGAGTTGTTTCTGATAAGAAAGAAATCTATATTTCGTACAAAGATGATTTGGTGGCTGCTTTGAAATATGCAAGTTGATCTGAAGTTAATGATGTAATGAGTCTTTGTTGGCTTGGCAGAAAAATCAAAGCTGAAATAGCTGATAGAAAACAAACATTTAATGGTCATTTAGAAGAAAATTGCCAAGAACAGTAAGTGTCTCCCACATTTTTGTTGTTAATGTATATGCTGACTGGGTTTGAAAGCACAGATGATGTAGAATCGTCCAAATTGTCTCCTGCCTTAGTGTTGGCACAGCTGCTTGCCTTTAACTCGGCTAAAAACAGGAAATCAACTAGAGTCTTTTGTAATAATGCAGATCATGAAACACCAGTAGCCATATATATTGCATTTCTAATTCATTCGAAGACTAGAAGCAAGGACTTGGTGAACAGACTTCACTCTCTTGGGTTATGTATCTCTTATGACCGCCTTTCAACTTTATCGACATATCTAGGGAACAGTGTTATCGATCAGTTTGACAAAGATGGACTGGTATGTCCTAGCTCGTTGAGATGCAATCTTTTCACCACACAAGCTGTTGACAATATCGACCACAACCCAAGCTCTAGGACCGCGAAAGATTCGTGGCATGGCACTCACTGCCATATCTACCTCTCAGCATCTCAAAGACAAAGATGATGGAACTTTTCGGCCGTCTCTTGATTTGCAGAAAGACAAACTACAATCAAAGTTATTAAAGCAGCTTCCTACAGAGTACACTTCCATTTTGCCATGTGTCCTGAAGAAGAAAGACATAGTCACGCCCACTAAAACTGGAGCAAGTCAGGAAGTGAGTATTGCATTATCCTTTGGCTTTGTTACATCAGTCTGTGGTGAGTTTAGTGTCGGCCATGGTAACAACAGCATTCATAAAAATTCAACCTAAGATTGATGTTCTTAAACACTGCGGCCAGCGCTGAACCCTTGTAGATGTATTTTAAAGTAATTGCGTTCGTTTTCAGGTGATTGGCTCAGTGGAAGTGGTTGGGTTCATTTGCTGGTGTTATCGAAAGTAGCCACGCCAGGGAAGGCCAATGCAATGCTAACTGCTTTCTCCAACATCACATTTTGTCGTTATCTCCATCAAGTTACAGCATGTTAGAAATTTATTATCTTTCCCACAGAGGAGCTTTTCAAAGATAATTACAAAAGAAATGCAATAATTTACATAAATATAAAAATATATACATATATATATATATATATATATATACAGGAATATAAGTACCTAATTACTATTTTATGGACATACACATTACTATAATGAGTTTAAAGGTTTAAAAGTTTAAATAGCTAAGAAGTCGCTGAGAAGTTTGTTTCGAAGGCTTCTCTTAAAACTTACAACATTTGGACAAAGTTTAAACTTAGACTCCAGAGAGTTCCACAAGCTTACAGTTCTATAATAAAAAGTCCTTTGGCCAGTGGCACTTTTAAATAGTGGAATGTTCAATTTCTGTGAACTTCTCGTGGATCGCTGGCTAATGTCTCCACGCTTTACAAATTGTTCGGATAAATAATCTGGAGCACAACCAGTCATGCATTTAAATGCCAAAGTGGCGTTTCTCAAATACAACTCGCTAGCTACTGGCAGCCATTTCAATTCCTTTAGTGCTGGTGTGACATGGTCAAATTTCCTTATACCACAAACTATTCTGCAAGCGAAATTCTGAATTAACTGCAGTTTCTCAATGTTGCACTTTGAGGTGTTACTCCATACATTGGAACAATAATAAAGTCTGCTGAAAACCAAACTGTTCATGATAGTAATCAGAGTACGTTTGTCGAAGGCATGCTTCACACGATTAATTTGACCCAGTATGGACATACACGTGGAGACGGTCTTATTAATATGGGGGTTGTAGGTTAAATTAACATCCAGAGTCACGCCAAGGTCCTTTGCCATTTCGATAGGGTTTATTTCTTTTCCCAATAGTGTCAGGGAAAAGTCTTGTAGTCTAGATAGCATTTGTCTGCTCCCAAACACCAATAACTTGGTCTTTTCAGGGTTCAGAAGCAGGCAATTGCTAAAACACCAATTTCGGACTTTAGTCAAATCCTCGTTAATATTCTCTATAGCAAAAGATTTACTCTGAGCTTTAAAGGAGTGCAGTAGACCTGTGTCGTCTACGTAGCAATGTGGATCACAGTTTTGAGGTGCAGTTGAGAGGTCGTTGACATAGATGTTAAAAAGTAAAGGCCCAAGGATA